AGTCCCTGAGAGCCTTGCCCAACTTTCCCTGGAACTGCAATGCAATCTAACACGATCCACCCAGCCTTCTTTCCTTCCCTGTCTCCTTCCCCTGGGCTCAGCCCTGCATCACTATCTGACAGCTCTTTCAGCCTTCCCTGGCTCTCTCCCCTTTTCTGTCAAAGACATTTGCCTTTATAAATATCTGGTATATCTACTTATGTCTTGGTTTCTCAGAAGACCTAGACTAACTAACAGCTGTCTTCTTAAGATACCCGTTCAACATCATCCTAGGAGTTTCTTTCACCTTCTCTTTGATAGATCTCTCTCTCTCTCTCTTTTTTAAATAGATAAGCAGTAGGGTTTTGTTTTTTTTTTAAATATATTTTATTGACTTTTTACAGAGAGGAGGAGAGAGGGATAGAGAGCTAGAAACGTCAGTGAGAGAGAAACATTGACCAGCTGCCTCTTGCACACCCCCTACCAGGGATGTGCCCGCAACCAATGTACATGCCCTTGACCGGAATCGAACCTGGGACCTTTCAGTCCGCAGACTAACACTCTACCACTGAGCCAAACTGGTTTCGGCTGGTTGATCTATTGTTTTCTAGATCCCAGGTCTTCATCTTTTTTTATTTACTTCCTATTTTGGTGGAATGCATACTCCACATGGGAGGTAAAATTGTTGAAGACTTGCATGACTGAAAACTTAATTTTAATCTCACCCTCGAGGGATGATTTGGCTGGGTATGGAATTCTAGTTTGGAAGAAATTTTTCATCAATTTTAAGCACATTCTCCATTGCCTCATAGTTTTTAGTGTAAATGTTAAGGAACACTTGGTTTTTGATGCTTTGCATGTGACCTATTGTTGTTTGTAGAAGCCTTTATAATCTCTTTATCCTTGATGTTTAGAAATTTCACGATGCTATGCCATAACTGCTTGTGTGATGTGTGTGTGTGTGTGTGTGTGTGTGTGTGTGTGTGTTGTGTAATGTTTCCTTCATGTGCTGGGTGCTCAGTGGATCCCATCAATGAGGATCCCATCAATGTGGATCCCATCTTTCAGTTCTGGGAGGTTCTGTTATGTTCTTTCATATTTTTATTCTCTGTTCTCTCTTCTGACTTCACATTTATTAGCTTTGGTACCTCCTGTATCGAGTTACCAAATTTCTTATTTTCTATCTCTTATTTTCTTATATTTTTCAAGCAATTAATTTAATTTCAGTTAATTAAAAAATTTTTTTTTGCAAACACACACAACAGATGACCCATTTTTAAAAAAATGAAATACAGTTAATATCTCTTTGTCATCTCTAATCTTTGGAATATTTTCAGAGTCAGTTTCCTTCATAGTATAAATTTATTTTTGCATTATTGCAGATTATATAACTGAAATTAGATGAAAGACCACTCAAGATAAGACTGGAGAGGCAAGCAGGGATGAGCATTAACTCCAGGGCTGTGCTGTTCCCTTGCTTGTACCTTCTGAAGTTGCCTCTTTCCCTGGCCACTTTTACTAAGTGGTTAGAACATCTGCCTGGAAACTTAACAGTCATGGGTTAGATTCCCAGTCAAGGTCACAGAACCTTGCCCAAGTTGGGGAAGATTCAGAGGGCAAGCAATCAATGTGTCTCTCTCACTCCGATGTTTCTCTCCTCCCTCCCTCCCTTCCACTCTCTCTAAAAATGAATTGAAAAAATATTCTCGGGTGAGGATTAAGAAAAAGAAGTTGCCTCTTAAAAGGAGATATAAAATTTTAAATCACCAGCATACATCAACTTGAGGTGCCTGAAGTCATGGGTCTGGATACAATTATATAGGAGAATTTCAGGTATCCTATTGCCTTAACATTAATATTATTAATTTCAGTCTTTAAATCCATGTCTTTACGGAACTACCATTTATTTTCTGTCATTAACAAAATTCTCTTTAGTAAACCATGTTATATCTTTTTGTACACAAAACTATGTTTAAACTACAATATTACATAAAGCTTTAAAAGCCTTAAAAATTTTTAATACAAATAGATACTGGTTAGGCACATTATTAGATGAGGAAAATTCAGAATAAAGCTGTATTAAAGAATTGATATGGCAAAGTGAGAGGTCACAGGTGACTTTGACAAGATTGGTTTCAGCGGTAGGGATAAATTTAGATTGGCATGGGATACAGATAACTAGCAGGTGAAAAATTAAAAAATAACAACTTTTCAAATGAGTGACTATATGGAGAAAGGAGCCAAAAGGGGGAGATGGCAGAAAGAACAAGAGGAATAAAGAAGTATATCTTAGTGGTGATGCTATTTTCATTTATTGACGTTCAACCAGAAATGGAAGGGGGAAAAAGAAAGTTGTTGTGGCACAATTTTGCTTTTTGTTAATTTTCTGTTGAAAATATTTAAAAAAAATTTTTTGCATATCTTAATCTTTTAATCATTTTCAAAAATTTAAATTTATAGGCATGTAAGGTTTTAAATCTATGAAATAAGTTTAAATATGGCAGTATCAGAATAGTAAACTTTAATAAAAAAAGAATAATAACTTTATAGAGATGACTCTGAGAATTCAAACTGGGCACAATAGAAGTGAAGTAGACACATGAATTGGTGTTTATGACTTCCAGGCAATATAGTTGATGGTGAAACCATCTGAGAGGCATTAACAGCTATATATACTTTGTAATGTATAGTACTTTTAATGATTGAGATCAATAAACTTTATTATATGTTTGGAAGAAATAGTTTATTAATTGCATTTATTGAATAATTTACTACATTCATAATTCTGAATATATCATGCCAAAAGTTATATATGTTATACAATCTTAATATAGCTTTTTGTACACTAAAGTGTTTAAAATACTCTAAAAATAACATTGTATCTCAGAAATAATGGTTAAATTTGTCAAAAACATTACATTAGTAAGGAGCTGAATTTAAAATCTTGGTTTCTTTTTTTGTTCATTATTGAGATTTATTATTGTACATTTACTTGGAGAATAGATTATTTCAACCAAAAGTGCGTTCTCCCTCCTCTAAATTCCCATGTATATCTATTATAGTAGTTTCCTATTTCTGCTTTAACCAGTTAGTTACCATACACTTAGTGGCTTAAAACAACACAAATTTATTATCGTACAATCTGGAAGTGAGAATCCAAAGTGGGTCTAGTGGATTAAAATCGTGATGTCAGCAAGGTACATTCTTTTCTGGAGATTTTTTAGGACAATTGTTTATTGCCTTTTCCAGCTTCTGGAGGCTGCCCATATTCCTTGGCTTGTGGTTGTATAACTCCTACCATTACTTCTTCATCACATCTCTGTCTCTCTTGCCTTCCTTTTTTAAAGACCCTTTTGATTTCTTTGGGCCTACCCAGGTAGTCCAGGATAATCTTTCCATCCCAAGATCTTTACCTTAATTGCACCTGCAGGGTCCCTTTTGCTCTGTTAACAGGTCACAGATTTGGGGGAATGATGTGGGTATCTGCCTACTACATCTTTCTTCTTTTAATCAGACACATTGAATGTCAGAGCTGGAAGGGATATTGGATAACTTGTCCAATCTTTTTACTTTATGCAAGAAGAAACTGAATGAAGCCATAGAGGATGTTTGTATGCTTCTAAGCTTTTTTTTTTTTTTTTTTTTTTTTTTTTTTTTTTTTTTAAAGATTTGAAATATGCTTTGGGTTCATGCTTTGTATGCTTAACTGTACTTAGAACAATATCTTGAACATTTTAAGTGCTTAATAAGTATTTGTGCCCTGAATGAATAAAAGGTTAGTGATAGAAACCAGATATATCTGGTTTCTGATGTACTCATTTTAAGTTAGTTGTAGTGGAAGTTTATAAAATGTCACTGACCAAAATGCTATGGGGGTAGAAATTTAATTATTCTTATATTTTGTAGTTACTAATAAAAGGGGGAAATCATTTAGTATTAAAGACCATTACAGTTCTCTTGCCCCATCTCTACCCACCCTCTTTCTTAAAAAAAAAAATGCAAAGAAAGAATAAAGAAGGAAAGAGAAGAGAAAGAAAAAGAATGAAAGAAGATAAGAAGAAAAGAAAGAAAAAGGAAGATATGATGGCATTTATTTAACTGTTTTTCTAGAGTAACTCACAGAAAGTTTTTGACACTCATTGCCATTTGACTGTCTTGATAAGATAAACCTATATTTTTTTGTAATGCATCTGTAGTTCATTTGTACCCTTTAATTAAGCAATTAAAATATCAATATGTTTTAAAAGTACTTTAGAAAAACTTAGAAACATTGGTTCACCTCTTGACTTATGGTTTTCTTTTCCTTGTGAAGTAAGGACAGTTTGGACTTTTGTTTAAAAGAAAATTTAAATTAAAAAAATTAATCTGTAATTTCTTATTAAAAAACATTAAAAATCTAGATTTTAGGTTAGATCATCATTAAGACTAGATAAATCACTTACTATCCCCAAGAAAGAAAGCTTTGCTTGATGCTTATTTAATGACTAATTTTCTCTTAGTATTCTTATAATTTATATAGATTTTGATTGTTGTATGATTTTGGATGTATTAGGCATATTTCTTGAAATAAAACATGTCAGAAGCATGTTAGATTATTTTCCTGCTTTTACCTTCCATTGGATGTATACATTTACACATGTCTAATTCTAACACTAAGACTGCCTATTAAGATGGTACATGTAATGTGCTTAGCAACTATAGAGATAGAACATGGTAAATGTGTCCAGTAACTGATAATGGTTATTATCATACTGTCATTTTCTCGATGAGCAAGAGGTTAATTTTAACTTTATTTTTTATTCTATTTTTAAATTTGTAATTTTTCAATTATAATTGACATACAATATTATATTAGTCCCGTATATACAGCATAGTGGCATTTGTATAACTTACATCATCACCTTGATAAGTCTAATACCCACCTGACACCATCCACAGATAAGTCAACTTTAGAATGTATTCATTATAGTAAGTTATGTTCATTGGGTGCAAACCTAATCTGACTTTTCTTTTCCTGGCAGCAACTTGAATTGGTGGAACCAAGTGGCTGGATTCATGTTCCCTTAACTGATAACCATAAGAAGCCAACTCGCACTTTCATGATACAGATTGCTGTTCTAGCCAATCACCAAAATGGAAGAGACACCCACATGAGACAAATTAAAATATATACACCAGTGGAAGAGAGCTCCATTGGTAAATTTCCTAGATGTACAACTATTGATTTCATGATGTATCGTTCAATAAGGTGACCTGGAAATAGAAAGTCATTAAACATATCTTTGTTTTCTCTGGTCAGTAAATACATCTTTATTGAAAAATCCTCAGTTGTTTCACAATTTTTGTATGCTTTGAAAAGTATTTTATATTAGCTTTAAAAAAATAAAATTTGGGTCATGCTATCTTTATTTTCTTTATCATATAATAATACTCATATATTTTATATTAAAAATGAATTTGTGCCCTGGCTGGTATGGGAGCATTGTCCCATACACCAAAAGGTTTCAGGTTTGATTCCCAGTCGGGGCACACTACCAGGCTGTAGGTATGATCCTGCAGGAGGCAGCTGATTGATATTTCTCACATCAATGTGTGTTTTTTCTCTCCCTTTCTCTCTCTCTTTCTCTTCCCCTTCCTCTCTCTAAAATAATTCAAAAAATTAAAAAGTAAAAAGAATTTGAAGCCAATCATTAAATGTTTCCTCATTCTAAAAGAAAACTAGTTGAACTGAAAATTTTAGAATATACATAATATTTTACTAACCAAGTGATTGTTTCATATAATGATCATGCATTAGAGTAATAATTTTACTTCATGTTTGAGAACAGGCGTATGTTTTATCAATAGATACTATCTTTAGTGAGCCAAAATTATTCCTTGTTTTTAACTCCAGAGGAAGCTTATTCTTTTAATACTGAGCCTTTTAAAAAACTGTCAAATAAGCTTATTATAAGGTGTTCTGATTTGGGAATATTGTCAATTGTGTCATAATTACTTCCATGAAATACTTGTAACACTAGGATTGTCTATATCCTGAAACCATGTCAGAGATTGCCAGTATAATCTGTTGTTATCCTAATTCTAGTGCTGCTATATGAGTTAGTTTCAGAGTTGTGTCTTGACACTTACACGTTCCAAGGGATAAATATGTATCATGGAAATATTTTTTCACGTATTAAATTATTCTTTATATATAAAAAGATCTTAGAGAAAGAAATAAAAAAGATATTAGAAGAGCTGCCTGGCCGGTGTGATTCAGTGGTTGAGCATCAACCTAAGAACCAGGAGGTCATGGTTTGATTCCCAGTCAGGACACATGGTTGAGTGCTCGATCCCTAGTGTGGGGCGTGTAGGAGGCAGCCAATTGGTGAATCTCTCTCATCATTGATATTTCTCTTTCTCCCTCTCTGAAATCAATAAAAAATATATTTTAAAAAAAGAGATATTAGAGGAGCTTAAATATGTTTTCTGTCCATGGTTTAAAATGAGATTTTATTTTGCATACTGTTTTTCTATATCTATTACTTTTAGGGATAGTGTTTAGCCTAAGAACTTCCCCAGATTGACTCTTGCTTGGGAAAAATTCCATGGTGGTTCTTGCATTACTGGAGAGATTGAAGTCTTAAATATTAGACTTAGGAAAACTTGATACGTGAGGATTACAGAGATAATACTTGCCCTTACTATAAGGATTATTTAAAGTACCGATAGACTATATGGTATAATAACAAAGCATAATTATCTGAAACTGTTGCATTTCTATTTTGAAAGTACTGATTATCTGACAAAGGATTTGTATTTAGAATAAAGAACTCTTACAACTCAACAGTAAGAAAACAATTCAGTTAAAAGTGAACAAATAATTTGAACAGTCACTTCACGGAATACATATGACATAAACGAGCGTGTGAAAAGTGCTGAAGTTAATTGGACATTAGTGAAATGCAAATTAAAACCATAATGAGATACTATTTCATAGCCACTAAAAGTGCTGCAATTAAAAAGACAATTACAACGATTGGCAAAGATAGGGAGGAACTGGACCTCACACTGCTGGGGAGGATGTGATGCATAACCATTTTGGAAAACAGTTTGGTAGTTTCTTAAACATGCATCTAATTATGTGACTCAGCCATTCCATTCCTAGTTATTTACCCAAAAGAAAAGAAAGCATATGTTTATATAAAGACTTGTACATGAATATTCATAGTAGGTTTATTTGTAATATCTCAAAACTGAAAATAGCATAATATTGATCAACAGGATAATAGAAATATTGTGGTATATCCATACAGTGGAATACTACTGAGCAATAAAAATGAATGAACAATTAATGCATATAACAATATGGATAAATTTTTTTCTTACTGTATAGGATTTGAGAATTAAAAACAGATTAAAAAGCCATTTTAACAGTTAATGAAACAACAACAAATTCATTGATTCATTTGTAATGAGTATACATTTTTTAGTATTAAACGCATTTATAAGATTGGAATTTTTAAATTTTACATCTAATCTAAGTATAAAACACCTTTTAAATCAGTTTATTAGCTGAGGAAGTATTGTCACAAGAAACTGCATAAAACTGGAATTTTAAAAGTTTATTAAACACTAATAGACAACTAATTTTTTAAATTATATTTTTATTGATTTCAGAGAGGAAGGGAGAGGGAGAGAGGAAAGAAACATCAGTGATGAGAGGGAATCATTGATAGGCTGCCTTCTGCACACTCCTTACTGGGGATGGAGTCTGCAACCTAAGCATATACCTTGGCCGGAATCAAACCTGGGACTCTTCGGTCCTCACGCAGGCCGACACTCTGTTCATTGAGCCAAACCGGCCAGGGCAACTAAACTAATTTTTGTTGTTAATCTTCAAGGATTTTTTTCCCCCCATTGATTTTTTTAGAGAGAGCGGAAGGGAAAGGAGTGGGGGGAGAGAGAAAAAAAAAATCTATCGATTGGTTGCCTCTTGGGCACTCCTTGACTGGGCTGGGGGTCAAATCACTGAGCCTTACTGATTCGGCATAATAGGCAACTCTTAAAAAAAACCAGCAAACTAATAAATACTGTATGTTGAATTAGATGTAATAAAGAAAATAAAATAAATCTCATGTGGACCTTGCTTGCTAGTTGCTTACAGCACTACTAGGGGAAATAATAGTTCTCTAAACAACCAAATGAGAAATTAGAGTGGTAGTATCTCAAATTGCTGAGTAGAAGTGTAGAGGAGAAGAGAATTGACTTCCTGTCCAGGATATTAGAGGTGAAGCAAAATACACATTGTGAAGGAGGTAGAATATTGTAATATCAGCTAGTTATTCACTTTTCATGCCTGTTCTTGAATCCAAACTATCATTGTTTATATGTAACAACAGTTGATTTGAAACAGATGATTTGTATGTTTGGTATCAAGTGACATTTTGTATATTTACTCTTGTTTAAAAGGTTCCAACAATTAAAACACGGACAAATCTTGAAAAATAATTTTAGCCGAAACCGGTTTGGCTCAGCGGTAGAGCGTCGGTCTATGGACTGAGAGGTCCCGGGTTCGATTCTGGTCAGGGGCATGTACGTTGGTTGCAAGAGGCAGCTGGTCGATGTTTCTCTCTCATCGATGTTTCTAGCTCTCTATCTCTCTCCCTTCCTCTCTGTGAAAAATCAATAAAATATATTTTTAAAAAAAGAAGAAAAAAAATAATTTTAGACACAATGCCTTCTGTTCTTTTAGCCGTTATGACTACTAATTTAGTACAGATTAATATACAACAATATAAATTTAATGAGTATAAATTTTTATGAGTTACCCCGGTGAGGTGGCTTATTTGGTTAGAGCGTTGTCCCTATGGGTTTGATCCCATTCAGGGCTCATATAGGAGGCAACAGATCAATGTCTCTCTCTCTCTCAAATCAAGAAAATCATATCCTCAGGTGAGGATTAAAAAACAACTAAGTTTTATGACTCAAATACAAATATTTGATATGTTTCCAGTGTTTCAGAAAATTGTTACTATAAACTTCTTAATAAAATGGCTTATGTATTATTTTTTATTGAATTATTGATAAATGGTTTATTCAGATACCTTTTTAAAATGATAAAATTTGCAAAACTATGTTATATTATAGCATCAGGGAAATAATGTGTTATAGTTGTGATTCTATCTGGACACTTTTTTTTTTTTTTCTCATATTTTATTGATTTTTTTTTTACATATTTTATTGATTTTTTTTACCCCCCTCCCTCCCTCCCACCCATCCCCTCCCTCCCCAGAGTTTTATGAACATTGGTTGTACTTATATGCATGTATACAAGTCCTTCGTTTGATCAATTATTTCCCCCAGATCTTCCTCCCCTCCCCACTGTAATTTGACAGTCTGCCTGTTGCTTTACTTTCTCTCTCTCTGTCTCTTGGTTCATCAGTTCATAAAGAGCTTTATTGTCCACCAATGAGTGAGGTCATGTGGTATTTCTCTTTCATTGATTGGCTTATTTCACTCAGCATGATGTTCTCCAATTCCATCCAGGTTGCTGCAAATGATGAGAATTCCTTCTTTTTTATGGCAGCATAGTATTCCATTGTGTAGATGTACCAAAGTTTTTGGATCCAATCATCTGCTGACGGACACCTAGGCTGTTTCCAAATTCTGGCTATTGTAGATTGTGCTGCTATGAACATAGGGGTGCAAATATCCTTTCTGATTGGTGTTTCTAGTTTCTTGGGGTATATTCCTAGAAGTGGGATTACTGGGTCAAATGGGAGTTCCATTTTCAGTTTTTTGAGGAAACTCCACACTGTTCTCCACAGTGGTTGCACCAGTCTGCATTCCCACCAGCAGTGCACGAGGGTTCCTTTTTCTCCACAACCTCGCCAACACTTGTTGTTTGTTGATTTGTTGATGTTGGCCATTCTGACAGGTGTGAGATGGTACCGCATTGTTGTTTTGATTTGCATCTCTCGGACAATTAGTGACTTTGAGCATGTTTTCATGTGCCTTTTGGCCTTCCTTCTGTCTTCTTTTGAAAATATTCTATTTAGGTCCATTGCCCATTTTTTAATTGGATCAATCATCTTCCTTTTATTTATTTGTATAAGCTGTCTGTAGATGTTGGAGATTAAACCTTTATCAGTGGTATTATTTGCAAATATGTTCTCCCATACTGTGGGCTTTCTTGTTGTTTTGTTGATGGTTTCTTTTGCTGTAAGAAAGCTTTTTATTTTGATATAGTCCCATTTGTTTATTTTCTCTT